GACAGGGCATCAGAAAACTGATCAGAGTGAGAAAGAGTAAGGGTAAGAAGAGCAGAAGGAATCAGGAGAGGAAAAAGGAGAGCTGAGCAAGAGACGTGCAATTGTATGCACGTCTGCACGCACGCACACTGCTGCAGAGCAGGGCTGGGCGGACGGCACCTGCTGACTGCATGCTGCAGGTAAAGCTATTTGCAATAATTTGGAAATCATACCTTGTTTTGTTTAAGGGCACCTTTCTCTTTCATATGAGGGCAGTCTTTTCCCGTCACCACGGCTTTGATATCTGCNCAGGGCTCTCTGAGATTGTGGAGGGAACACCTGATGTGCTGAGCATATGGTAATCCCGGCTAGTGTTGAAGAAAGTCTGCCCCACAAGAGGAAAACCATGAAAGATGGGGACTTGCTGCTACAGTTAAGGACACTTCTCTGGAATCTGATGAGCTATAGAATCCCAGTCTCCCCACATCATGGAGAAGGGAGAAATGGAAACACTCATAAGTGCAATGCAGCAGATAAGCCACAGACCCTGGCCTCTTAGGCACGCCCTCACGTCATTGTGCTTGTCAGTTAAGTGCATTATGTGATAGTGTTGTAACAAGCTCAGTCAATTAGGAATTCACATGGTCCTGAGGTGAGTTATATGTATGTAACTTAAGAAGCAAAGATCTTGCAACCAGCCTCCTTGGCTGTATCCCCTACCCTTGGTTTTCCTGAACAGGACTTTCATAGGACTTCTGTTTTTTCTTAACTATAGAAAAGATCATCCTGGAAAGACCTGGATTCTCCTTTGTCTCATAACATTTGAAGTTACAGAGCAGGGACTTTTTCTTTTAATCTTGCTTGAAAAGTAGGAAATGTATCATTTTGGTGTTCCCCTTGCATGCTGATGCTAGAAATAAAGAAGCAACCTACTGTTCTATGTGACAGTTTTGTCCAAGGTGTCTGGAACACCCATATAAATTCAGATTCTTTTCTTCATGGACGGTATATATCACAAGGTGCCAAGAGGTATAAACACAGAACTGACT